CTCATGGGGGTCTAAAACAACCAAGCCTCATCATCATCATCATCATCATCATCATCATCATCATCATCATCATCATCATCAGCATCAGCATCATCATCATCATCATCATCATCACCACCATCATCATCATCATCCTCATCATCATCATCATTCTCATCATCATCATCATCATCATCATCATCATCATCATCATCATCATCATCATCATCATTTTCATCATCATCATCATCATCACATCATCAGTTTCAGTATCCTTATCATCATTCACATCATCTTCATGCTTATCCTCATCCTCATCGTCATCCCCGTCCTCGTCCTCATCCTCATCCTCATCATCACCACCATCAGGGAGCCTCATCCCACTCCCGATCATCAGCTGTGGCCGCGCGGAGGAAGAGTTACTTTCCCAATATAGCCGGGGGTCCAAATCTTTTTAATGGTGGCAGATGCTCGGTGTTTTCCGCAGGGGCTATTGGCGGATTGGGGCCCCCGGCTATGTTGGGGAAGGTGATTCTGCCTCCGCGGCGGCCGCAGCTGGTGATCGGGAGTGGGAGGAGCCCCCCTGATGGTGGTGATGATGACGATGTGGATGAGGATGAGCATGAGGATGACGATGTGGATGAGGATGAGCATGGGGATGATGTGGATGATGAGGATGATGTGGATAATGTAAATTATAATGATAATGCTAATGAGATGATGGTGGTGGTGATGATGATGGTGGTGGTGATGGTGATGGTGGTGATGTTGATGTTGATGGTGATGGTGAGGATGAGGATGATGATGAGGATGATGATGATGATGATGATGATGATGATGATGATGATGATGATGATGGGGGTGATGATGATGATGATGATGGTGATGCTGATGATGATGCTGATGATGATGCTGATGCTGATGATGATGACGAGGAGGAGGAGGAGGAGGGGAAGGACGAGGAAGGGAAGGACGAGTTTAATTGTCAGCCGAGAGCTTATGCTGTGGGTCCCCGCTAGCATTAAAGACCCTCTGAGTTTACGGGATTTCGGTCTGTCCCAACAAACCTGCAGTGAACGAAGTTGTGTAGAGGTATGGGGCTCACTCGAGCTCGCATTCGTGAACGGATCATTTTGTCGATTTATTTCTCCATCGCGCCATCGCGTGATATACTGCGGTTTCTCGTTCTGGCGCCACGGCGCCCGCCTGCAGCCCCCCCGATGGCGTGCACGTGCAAAACCTGTTTTGCTATGACCTGCTCGTCCTTGCGAGCCCTCTGGCCCTGGCTGCCGGGGTGCGTGTTCCTGTCTGCGCCCGGGAGCTGGCGCAGGAGGATCGGAGGAGAGCGTGGCATGCGCCCCCTCCTATTTCATACCCGGCCTTCTTGGGGCTTCCTGCTCTCCACGGCCGGCTCGGCCTCGGAGTCCTGGTCAGAACACGCCGCGTTAGATGTAGATCACGACACTGTCCGCCCGTCGTATATTGAGTGTATATCGGCGAAAACTGCTCAACAGCGACCAAATAGCACCCAATTGCGACCAACAGCGCCATGTGAGGGAGATGCATGATGTCCGCTTTGCAAGCAAGTGGGCGTGCTATTGGGCGCCATGGGGACGACCAAAAATACTTCTATGGGTTGCTTTCTAACGCCACTGGAGAGGTCCGGCGAGCAGCGGTAACGGCACCTCTGTGTCCCCCGCATTCGGTTTGCCGGCCGGGATGTGGAGGAGGGGGTGGTTGCATTCGTCCGGTTCGGTTCGGTCGGTTGTTGAGTTGCTACGTCCTTCTTGGTTGCGTTCGGTCTGTCCGTTGTGGTCGGTTTAGTGTTCGTTGTCGGTTCAGTCGCTTTCAGGTTAGCTGACGATTCCAGAATGATCTTTCTCTCTCTCTCTCTCTCTCTCCTTTTCCGTAGCCATTTTGGCTCTAGGTTCCATTGCTACATTAACTACCCCCTCTGCCGTGCACCCACCCGAACGATGGCGCGCGTGCTGGCGGTGATGTTGATGGCACCTCGTGCAGGCTAGCGCCCTGGACTCGGAGGAGGCTCGCCCCAAGGGAGCCCGCAGGCGGGCCCGTGAGCGCGCGCTCGCGGCGCAGACCGGGGAGGGCGTGGCCAAGTTCGGCTGCGCCCAGCTCGGTGGCGACAAGTGGTCCACGGATGCGCACGGCGATCTCTCCAGGTAAAGCAGGACCATTTGCTCCGTCACGTTCGCCCTGAAGACCAAGAGCGGTGCGACGGTCGAGAAGCGCGGCATCGTCAGGGGCGCCAAGGTGCTGACGGAACCGCCTTTTCCCCAGGGCACGGTGCTGGGGGCGAGCGTCCAGTTCGAGAACGGCGCCCGGTGGGAGCGCAAGTGGTGAGCGTTTGGCCAGGTCGGTGGGCGCTGCGCCTCCAGCTGGGGAGGGCTTCGTTGTTATCTCGTTTTGTCGTCTGGAAAGAAAAGAAATCCCTCTCTCTCTCTCTCTCCCTCTCTCGTTCTTTTTGTATCTCTGTCTCTGTCTCCGTCTCTGTCGCTTCCTCTCTCTCTCTCTGACTCTTCGATGGCACCGCAGTGTTCGTATCCTGAGGGCCTCTCAGGCGCAGCATCTGATACTGAGCGGGGCATCTCCTGTGTCCTGAGGGGGTGGCTGTAAACTTATCTTGCGTTCCTCATGTGCGGAGGCCGTTTCAAAAGGGTTAAACCAATCTTAGGGAAGTTTCTCGCCACCACATCGTCATCCACCTGGTGTTATTATTTGTCCATTCTTCGTTCGTTTCTTCCCCGCAAGGCTTGGGCTGCAGAACGAGTTTGGCGCGACCTTCCAGGTGGATCGGAAGTTTTTGCCATCTTTGTGTGCAGGAAGCCATCCAGTGTCTAGATGAAGATGTGGTTCATGATGGTACGTGTGACTGTGCTTGAGACGATGTTGCTGTCGCTGATGGCACAGGGTGGGGATCATGAGGATGAGGAAGAGGAGGAGAAGGAAGACGAGGATAAGGAGGGGGAGGGAGGATCATGCGGAGAAGCATGAGGAAGAGGGGAAGGAGGAGGGGGAGGAGGAGGAGGAGGGGGATGAGGAGGAGGAGGAGGAGGAGGAGGAGGATGAAGGAGTCCGTGGCAGGGGGAACGGGGGGCAGGGAGCGGGCCTTCATTTGATTATTCTTCTTGTTCTTCTTCTTTTTCTTCTTGTCGCCGCCTCCGCCGCCGCCGCCTGGCCAGCGCTGCCGCCGCCGTCGCCGGCATTTTCGTCCGACAACAGAGCGCCCAAATCGGTCCCCGCCGCCCTCCCGGGTCCAGCCTGGCAAGCTTTTCTCGTGCCGCGTCCGGCCGTCAGCGACGAGAGCCTTCAGGAGACCCAGAAAGCCTGCGAAACGAAGGCGCAGATATACCGAGGTCTTCGTCGCCGTCGCAGTCGTCGTCGACCCCCAGACATCTCCAAGGGGTGCGTCCTGAGCCTCATCCTGAAGAGAACCCAGCCGAGGCGACGCAGAGAGGGAGAAGAAGTCCCAAGGGCTCCGCGGCGGTCGTCGAGCGGAGATGCCAGATTCGAGAGATCTTCGGACGGCGAGGCCGCCGCCGCCGCCGCAGCCGTCGTCGCCGCCGCCGCCGTCGTCGTCGTCGTCGTCGTCGTCGGCGCCGTCGCCGTCGTCGGCGTCGGCGTCGTCGTCGTCGTCCTCGTCCTGGAGGCGGTCTGCGAGCTCACCGTCGGGCGGCTCGGCGCCGGCGGCGGCCCCGCGCAGCTGGGGGAGCCCCGCGCCCGCCTCCCCGCGGCCACCGCGGCTGCCCGCCGCCCTCCTCCTCGGGAGGGCGCCCTCTCGGGGACGGCCCGCGGCGCCCGCCGCTCTGCCGGGCCGCTCTTTGTCCGTGTGCATCGCGGTCGACCTGTCGGCGGGGGGGCGGCCGTGAGGGTAAGACGACGCGAAGATCGGGACAACGTCGGATCGGGACAACTCGAGATCTCGGAGAATCGGCGGGTTGGGAGGATGTATTGGGCGCCGCGGCCGCTCCAGAGCGTTCCAGAACGCTCTGAGAGCGCTCCGGAACGCTCTGGAGCGATTTATCCCGATCCTAGCCCTGTTTTAGTGGTGGTGGTCAGGGGCGGTATCGTTTGTCACCAATCCCCATCCCCATCCCCATCCCCCTCGAGACCCCTGCAAAAAGTACCCCCCCCCCCGGGTGGGGATACCCCCCTTCGAAGCCCGAAGGATGCGGCCCATGTCCCCATCTGGGGGTGTAGATCGGCCAGTGGGGCCCAGGCCACGTCGCTGGGGAGGATGGGGATCGGTTCAACGATACTCATATAAGGGGGGGGGGATCTCATGGCGTGGGCCATGACACTTCCTCAGATCTCACGGCGCCTCTTCTCATTTCCCTACGTCCCTGGCCTTCCCCACCGGGGCCGCGCACGTGCCGCCGGCGCCATGACTTGCGCCCGATCCCTCTGCGACGCCGCCCTCCTGGCCGCCCCCGAACGTTTTTTTTCTCTGGATCTCCGGCCTGGGGTCCCTGGCTGCTGGCGTCAATCCTCTGCCTCGCCCAGTTCGACATTCGGGTCGGGCGAAAGGGGGGGATTGGGAAAGGGGGGGTACGAAATTAGCTGCATGCAGCTGGTTTCGGCCCCACCGATGGGCCAATTCCTCGATACATGGCCGCTCCCGGCGCCGGGAGGCGCCGGGAAAATCAGCTACGTGAGCTGATTCTCACCCCCCCCCTTTGCTATCCCCCCCTTTCGCCCGACCCGAGACATGCTGTGTTTGGGTCTCGACAGTGTTTCAGTTCGAGCATTTCATGCGGGGCGGCGGGTGGGCACCTCATGCGGGGCGGCGGAAGCCGTTCTGGGATTTCCCTATAGGGCAGCTGCGGTCCTGCGTTTGTGTGTGTTCTCACGGGCAAGTCAGTATGTGCGCGTCCGTTGCAGGCTCGGCCGAGGGCCAGCCGAGAAGCAGACTTCAGCACTGGGACTCGCCGAGGTGACTGACACCAAGGACGAGGCTGGACCACATGATTGCACAACTGCGTAATCGAGTCCATGCGAGGCGCAACCAGGCAGCTGAGCAGCGACACGCGATAGAGCAGTATTAGTAACACGAGCGATGGTAGAGCCAGGACGACGTGACGGCAACCAGCAATCGAGTCTAAAAGGTAAACGACAAGGCCCCACACCCTCGTCCAGGCACCCGTCGAAGAGGAGAGGCCCATGCAGGACTTCTCCGCGGTGTGCGGCATCACCAGTGGCGCCCGCACAGGGCACCATCCTGGCTGTGCCCCTCCACAGTGGGAGGAGATCACCGTAGCCACCCCCGCTCGATGGCGCCCATCACGCTTCCGAACGGCATGGCAACCGAGAGATGCTCAGGGAGTGAAGCGCCCAGCACCCCGATCTTCCAAACAATGGCAACGACCTGTCACCAACGGTCGGGGAGGACCTGATGAAAGCAACGAGCAATCGGGCCCAAGAGACGATCAGGCGCCCAGACCCTCGTGCAGGCACCCGTCAGAGAGCGAGAGGCCCCTCCAGGACCTCTCCGCGGTGTGCGGCATCACCAGTGGCGCCCGCACAAGGCACCACCCTGGCTGTGCCCCTCCACAGTGGGAGGAGACCACCGTAGCCACTCCCGCTCGCTGACTCTAGAGCTGCGCGTGGATGGATGCGTCCAGCACCTTGAGCAGCTCTTCGACGATGTCCTGCTTCTTGGCCAGCTTCTCACGCTGGCTCGCGTTCACTGGCTTACGGCCAGCCTCAGCAGCCACGATCGTTCTGATCTCACGAAGCTGCTTGCAGAGCTTCTTGCTGCGCTTCGTGCTGAGAGCAGGGTACTCGGCCGCCATGGCGAACGCCTTGTCGATCACGTCGTCGTAGGCGGGCTTCTCGGTGGGCATGGCCGAGGTCTTGTTGATCGCGTCGTTGGTGGTCGTGCTGGGGGCGCCCTGGATGTGCTCCAGCAGCACCCCCGCCTGCGGGTCGTACGAGTCGCCGCACGTGCGCTCCATGGCCCCGCGGTCGGAGCCGATGTCGAAGTGCTCTACCTCGTCCTTAGTCTTGTCCTGCAGCGTGTTCGGGACAGACTGCGCGACCACCCCGCCCACGATCCCGTCGTTGGTGGTTGAGCTGCAGCCGGTGCTCTCCGTGGTGCCGCCCACGGAGCCGATGTCGAAGTGCGCCGCCTCGCTGACGGGCACTTGCAGGCCCGACACCTGCTCGAGCTTCGCGCCCAAGCACTCCAGCTGCCGTTCGATGGCCTGGATCTTGGTGCCGATGATGTCCTCTTGGCTGGGCTCGTGCTCCTCCTTTGCGGGCACGCCGTCGAAGACCTTGTGGATGTCTTCCTGCAGGGAAGCGTCTGGGTGGCCAGCCACATGCCGCAGCTGGCTGATCTTGCCCAGGCGCGACGCCAACTGGCCCGCACCCTTGTCGCGCAGAAGAGACTTGGCCTGCGTGAGGGACGGCCTCGGCTCCAGGCCCGCGCAGACCTTGATCTGATCGAGCAACGTCTCGAGCGACCCGAGAGGCTCCCAGCCGGCAGCGCCTGCGTCTTCACGGGGGTCTGCACCGTTGGCGCCACCCTGGACTGCGCCTCGCGCCGCCGCTGCAGCTGCGCTGTGTAGCTCCGTGCCCTCGACCTTGGCCACCTTGAAACCGAGCACGGCCCCAAACGTGACCTGCGCCGCCGAGTTGAGGCTCCCCGCCATGGCGCGTGCAGACCCCAGATCCATGGAGCCCAGCCGCGGCCGACCCCAGATCCATGGAGCCAGCCGCGGCCGATCCATGGAGCCCAGATCCATGGAGCCGCAGCAATGGCTTGAGCCAAAATGGCCACGGAGGGCAAGTCAGTATTTGTGTCCCGCCCCTATCGCGAATCGATTGCCTCGCCCTATTCGCCCTGCTCGCCCTCGCGACGCCCCGTTCGCCCTCCTTGCCCTCCTTGCCCTCCTTCCCTCTCTCCTGCTCGATGTTCGATGCTGCGGCTAGGTCCGTCGGCACGACCCGTCGTCCTCCTCCTGGCCCCGGAAAAGAAAACGGCACACGCGTACATGTCGGAGGTCTGCGCGGATTTCGTGGATCGGCGTTGGGGCCCCCCTGGCATGGGTTGTTGCGGGCTCCACGTTGAAAGACCTCCTACTCTTCCAACGTGGTTTCCGGCACACTACAGACAGTAGTCAGGTCAGTTAACATGATTTGACAGTTCTCGGCCACGCGCAGAGGAGGGTGGGGGGAGGGGAGAGGGCTTCTTAGAAGCACCCCTGCTTCTTAGAAGGCGCAGGCCTTATCTATAGTCTATAGATGTAAGGCCACCGCCTTCTAAGAAGCAGCCTCATTCTAAGAAGCCCTCCCGCCTCCCTCCACCCCCCTGGGCGTACCGCCAAAATTCGGCCTGAAGGTACAAGTCGCCCGAAGGCGCCAGACTGCCGGCCAAGCCAGGGCAGGCCAGGTCGCATCGGGCGTCGGGTCCGGCACGGAGCTTCTGCGGATCCTGTGCCGGTCCGAGGCTTGCTGGACAGATCCTATGCGAATTCGATGGGTGTTGGACGGATCCGTGCGGTTGGAACACTCGGTATCGTTTAACCAATCCCCATCCCCATCCCCATCCCTTTCGAGACCCCCACCAAATTACCACCCCAGTTGGGGATACACCCCTCGAAACCCGAAGGGAACGACCTACATCCCCATCTAGGGGGGTAAATCGGCCCATCTAGGGGGGTAAATCGGCCAGTGGGGCCCAGGCCACCCCGCTGGGATGGGGATGGGTTGAACGATACTCAACAACAGCATGTTTGGCACGTATCCTGTCGACCACTGTACCTTTGTGTAGTATGAGCAAAGGGGAGCGGAGGGATCCGAGGACGACTTGCGCAGGGGCACTGGTCTGGCGCGACAGGTGGTGGGGGACTGCGCCTTTCAGAATTTTACTCCAGCGCTCTTTATAGATCTCTCCTCAGGCGACTCCAGATTTAGCGGGCGAAGAACGGTATAAGAAAAACTTTTCCGTCACCAGGGGCGTTGCCCCGGGGCGGCTGGAAAGTTCATACCTTGACGTGCCACCGTAAGTGTATAAACTGTCCAGCCGCCCTGTGACAGGCGCCCCCGACAGCGAAAACGTTTACTTTACACCGTTCTTCGCCCGTGAAATGGGATTGCATGTATTGCGGTGCATTATTTTTGTTCTGCCGGGAGGGACCGCTCCCATTATCCCACGGTCGCCGAGGTCATCCCTCGTGGCGCTGTACGACCAGCGCTTCCGGTTCAACCCCCGGCGCTCTTTAAAAAGATCTTTCTTCGGGCGGCTCCTGATGGAAGTTTTCCCAGGCGGCTCCCAGAACCTTCCTCGGGCGGCTGCTTGGAGAGCAGCCCCTCCCCCAACTCGCCCGTGGGGGTTCCTGACCGCTCCTTGGCGCGCTCGCGCCCGTGCGCTCTCCGGAGGGGCAGAGCCCGGCCACGCGTTGATTCAGTCACGATTCCGGTCCAGCAGAGCGTACCAACCTTACCTGACTGTTTGTAACAGACGGTCGGGTATGTTGGTGCCAGACTGTCGGTCCAGCCAGGCCAGGGGCCGTCGGCCCGGCCAGCCTACAACCTCGCCTCGGGCGTCGGACCTGGGAACGGATCCGGGCACGGATCCGCTACGGATCCTAGGCGGATCCGAGGCTTGTCGGACGGATCCCATGCGAATTCGATGGATGTTGGAGGGATCCGAGCGGTTTGAAAATAACGTGTCTGGCACGGATCCTGTCTGACCAGTGTATTTTTTTGGGTTTGGCACTAGTCAAGGGCAGCGAAAGATTCCGAGGACGATTTGCGCAGGGCCACGGGTCTGGCGCGACAGGGGGACAAGGCGCCTGTTAGAGTTTTCTGCAGGCGCTCTATGTAGTTTTTTCGTCATGCGGCGCTGTATAGAACTTCCGTCGGGCGGTTCCTCCTGGAACTTTCCTCAGGCGGCTCCTTCAAGATCTTTCCTGGGCAGCGCTTCCCTCAACTTGCCCGTGGGGTCTCCTGACCTTGCGTTGGCGCGCTTCTTGAGGGTCGGGCCCCGGTCGTGCGTTGATTCAGTCGCGCTTCCAATCCAGGCATATCGTAGCATGTTTAATTGACAGTCTGTAGCTTGCATTCGTGACCCAAAGTGCTTCAAGCACTGGTTGGGGAATGCCGTTCTCTTCTTCGAGGGAAGGCCGAAGGGTGAGAACCAGGAACGGGGATTGCTCAGCGAGAGGAGGGATCCCCTTTTGCTCCCTGCCCGCCAGAATTCCAGGAGAGACGAGCGGGAACAAGGAGGAATAGTAAGAGGATGAGGAAGGTGGAACAATTAAATATGAGGGGGATGGTGCACGCACGGATGAACATATGCGGTCGGGGAGCGCGATGGGGATACGTATCACGATGTTGTTGGAGATGCTGCTGATGATGAAACAGATGTTGGTGATGATGGTAAGCTTGCGAGTGTTGATGTCGATGGTGATGTGATGCTGATTCGGGTGCTGGGGATGCTGCGTCAGGTGATGTTGTTGATGATGAAAATGACATGAAGATGGCGATGGCGATTTCGTTTAACACGATGTTGCTGCTTGAAGTTGTTATGCTGATGATGGGTAGGATGGTGCTGCTGCTGCTGATGATGAAGATTATGATGATGATGATGATGATGGTTTTGCAGGCGCAACCTTCATACCATTGATCCTCGTTGTGCTCATGAGTGTGTTGCATTTACAGGATCTTGGCATTATGAATCAAAGTAGGCGGAGGAGCAAGAGGAGGAGGAGGAGGAGGAGGAGGAGGAAGAGGAGGAGGAGGAGGATGGGGAGGCGGAAGAGCAGCCGGGGGAGCATCAGGACATGGGAGAGGAAGGGAGGCGCAGGGCGGGCCCGAGGGGGGGAGAGAGGAGGAGAGAGGCCGCGAGGCTCGAGACGAGGGAGGAGCAGCACGAGGAGGCAGCGGAGGAGGGACAGCGGGGCGAGCACGACGACGAGCCGCGAGCGGCGGCCCACCACGCGAGGAGCTCGCCCCGTTCTTCGAGCTGCTGCTCGCCGGCGCCGCGAGCCTGGAGCAGGCCGCCGCAGCCCCCCCCCGCCAGCCCTGCCGGCTTGCCTTGAGTCCAGAGCGTGAATTTCCTACCCCGCGTTCGCTTCCAGGCAAAACCAAGACATACCACGCGCCTCCTCGTCAAGAGGCCTGACCAGTACAGGCTGCAATTTGGCATCGTTTGGTATCTCTTGGAAGCGAGGGTGGTCAAAAGCGAGGTAGGCTTGTTGTCCCCCTGTTGAGGCGGGCCGGTCCCTCGACAGGAGGGACTCTTGTCGGAGGTTGGTATAGACCTGTTATCGGAGGTTGATAGACCTCCTACCCTGACGCGTCGAGTCGCGGGTTGGCCGTTGTCGGTTCGCGAGAGGGCGTCGCGGCCGTCCTTTTTGCGGGTCCGGGCCCTGGTTTCGGTCCCTGGGCCGTCTCCACTACGGGGAGGTTTGCTAACGGGAGGGTTGTCCACTGCCGACATTACAAACTAGTCCAACCATAGTCTGGGGGCTAATTTTTGGGTATTGTAGTGGCCTCCGCCCAGTGCCGCCGATCCGGGGCGCTCCGGGTGCCTGTGGAAATGTACGACGACGAGGAAGACGAAAACGACGACGAAAACGAGTACGTCGACGACGACGACGACGAGAGCGACGACGACGACGACGCTAATTTGTTGGTATTTCCCATGATGCTTCTCTGCGCTGCCTGGGCGATCGGCCTGCAGGAGGACATGCCCGACCTCGACCTGCGGAGATCCGTGCGGACTTCGCGGGGGCCTGTGCCGGGACCCCCCCCGGCGGCGCCTCAGGCGCCGCCGTTGGCCCGCTCCGCGCGCCAGGGAGGGCCGTCCAGCGCAGGTCCAAGACGCTCACCGCCCACCAAACCACCCCAACCCAGCCCGAAGGCTCCGATTTACCTTCGATTTCCAGTGGGGGTGTGTGTGTGTCGGGAAACATAGAGAAAACACGTGTGGAACCCTTGCCCCCCCCAACCCGCAATGCGGGTCTTCGGGTTGGGTTGGGGTGGTCTGGTAGGTAGTCAGAAGTCCGCGCTGACCTCCAAGCGTTCATGTTTGTTTGTTTGTGTGTGTGTGTGTGTGTGCGGTTCCTGTTCCTCGGGAGGTCGATTCGTGTCGCCGCCGTTGGCCAGGCCCTTGCCCGGGCACGGGATCGGTGCAGTTGCCTCCCGGCCAGGCCAGGGGGTCGTGCACACGGGTCCCTCTGCTCCTCCTTCTCCGTCCATCTAGCCCATGCTTCTCCCCTGTGTCCTCCGCCTCCTCCTCACCCTTCTCCCCCCTCCCATCTGAGGAGGGACCTGTCTCGAGGGCTCTTGAGCCACACCGTGTTGGCCCCAATCCCCGCGCCGCCCCGTTACGGGCGGCGAGAAGGCTGGCAAAGAAAGGGAAAACACCAGGCGGCGAAGAGCGTGGAGAATCGAAGGCGCAGGAGAGAGAAAGCGATAAGTGGCAATTCTTCACGCCTCGCGTATCCCCACCAGCCCATTCAGAAGCCCTGCCCATGAGAGCTGATGGGAAACGGGACGAAGAGGCACATCCAGGGAAACAAAGCGAGCAACCAGGGTGAACCGAGAGATCTCTGGGAGCAAGGGGGTGGCCTTGGAAGGCCTCTTCGGGCCATCCCTGGGGGCCGCTTGGGGGCGAGGGGGAGGAGGAGGAGGAGAAGCAGGAGGAGGAGGAGGAGGAGGAGGACGAGGAGGCATAGGAGGACGAGGACGCAAATGAGGACAAGGACGAAGAGGACGAGGAATAGGATGAGGACGACGCGGACGAGAACTCATGGACCCATCTAGAGGTATTCTTGCGGCTGCTGCTGCTGCTGGCGCTCTTTTGGGGCCCTCTTGGAGCCCTCTTGGAACCCTCTTGGTAACCCTGGAAGGCTTCTTGGGATCATCTTGGAGACCATTGATTACAGGATGGGTCGGTCTCCAACTCAGCTTCCCCCTCAGGAGCCGGCAACCCGCTTCTTGGGGCTCTCTTGGAGCGATCTTGGGCGCTCTTGGAGCGGTCTCGGGGCCGTTTGAAGCATCTTGGGAGCCATTTTGAGCCAGCTTGGGCTACCTGAGCCATCTTGGAGGTCATCTTGGGCTCTCTGAGGCCGCTCGGGGGCCTCTTGGGGGCCTCTCGGGTGCCTCTTGGGGACCTCTTGGGACCCTCTTGGAGCCCTCTTGGGGCTCTCCTGGGGCTCTCTTGGGAGCCCTGGAGCGCCTCTTGGGGCCATCTTCGAGGCTATTGATCAAAGGAGGTAGGGTCCAGATCGAGGTCCCCCCTCGGGGGCCACGATCCTCGTGAGGGGTGTCAAGAATTGGCCCTCCCAGGGGCCGATCTTGGACGCTCCGACGACCCGCGACACCCCTCCAAAAGTCCAGGGTAGGGGGTAGGGGGAGGGGTCAAGACGCCCTCCCCGCCCGCAAGCCGTCTCGCTCACTCCTACCCGCCCTCCCAACACATACGTGGCACCCGAGCCTGGCCCGAGCCGCAGCATATTCAGCAGTCGTCTTTGGATGGGCAGTTACTGGGGGCGAATCCGCCGACACCGCCGCCGCCTCCGCCGCCGCCGCCGCCGCTGTCCGCCGCCGCCGCCGCCCCGCCGCCGCCGCCGCCGCCCCCGCTGCCAAATCGCCGCCGCCGCAGCCGCTGCCGCCGCAGCCGCTGCCGCCACCGCCGCCAAATGTACAGTGTCTTCTTTTTTGGGGGGGGGCCGGAATGGTGGGGGGAGGCCGCACCGAGTTGGCTGCGCATGCTCCGAATTTGGAGGCAGAGCGTGTTTTGTATCAAGAGATGGTGGGGGGGGGCCCTCATTGTCTCGGCTTGGCTCCCAGTCGCCTGGGGGAGGGGGTGTTTATTAATAGGGAACAGTGATCAAGACCCCCTCCCCGCCCGCAAGCAGTCTCGCTCACTCCCACCTGCCCTCCCAACACAGCAGCCGCCGCAGCCGCCGCCGCCGCCGCCGCTGCCGAGTGTACTGTGTATTGTTTTTTGGCAGGGATGGTTGGAGGCCGCATCGCGTTGGCTGCGCATGCTCCGAATTAGGAGGCAGCGTGTGTGTGTGTGTGTGTGTGTGTGTGTGTGTGTGTTTGTATGGTTTTTGCAAGGGATAGTGGGGGGGGGTCCCGTATGGCTCCTGGTTGGCTACCAGTCGCCTGGGGATGGGGGTGCTTATTAATAGGGAACAGTGGTAAACCCCTTCCCCGAAGGGGAGGAGGGTTTTTGGAAGAGGAAAGCAAGCCATCGTTAGACCACCTACGCCCAGAGGGCTGGTGGGACTTGTCCAATATGAGTTGTGAACGTTTACGGCCGAAGAGCTCATCATTAGTTTTGCTCCCTTGCGCATGTGCACTAACAGTGAAACGTGCAATTGCTTCGCGGACTCACGCATGGAATCTGCACATATCGCACGTGCGATGGCTTCACGGACTTGTTTCCTCGCTTTCGCTTGCCAGTGTCCTTGCATCGTGGCTCTGCGGGAACCTGTACCCAGCAGTCGCCGGGGAGGCTGCGCCCAAGGCGCTCGAGCCGCCGCACGAACCCTCGTTGTGGTGAAAGCCTGGCGGAGCTGGGTGCCCAGCGGGCAGCTGGAGGACGCCGTCGAAGCTGCTCGAGCCATCGCGCGAGCCTTAAGTCGGGCGTGTCCCTCTGCAGGGGGAATATTCGCAAATAGTTGAAAACATGCCAGGGGACGACTTGCCGTCGTTCAATATTGAATATTTTAGTTAGTCGTTCAAAAATCCGCCTGTCGTGGGACAGGCCCGACCTAACGCGAGCCCTTTCCTGCTCGAAAGCCCGGAAGGTCCGAGTTCCCAGCAGCGGATGGGTGGGGGCGCCGCCCGAACTGGCCGAACCCTAGCTCAGGTCGTGCTCTCTTTTCAGTCCCGTTGTCGCTGCCTTCCCCTTGTCCTCTCCACTATTTAGCCTGATGGCCGCATGGGGGGCATGACGTTCGGGTTCCGCAGGGTACGGCTTGTGTGCGCGATGGTATCTCGAAATGGCCCACGCGGGTGCACAATTTGTGTACGCGGTGGTGCCCAAGAAGGGCCGTCAATGCGTGCCTGTGCCACTCTTCTGGTTGGGGCAAGACGCCTCGCCACGACCGTCTGAGGGTGCACTGTCTAAGGGAGAATCCGAGACGACTCGGATGCGCGGCAATCGGATGCACATCGCAAGAGTATCTTCAGGATCATCGTCGTCGTCGCTCTGTGCGGGAATCGCAGCCGCATCGACATCCATCGCGGGCCTTGCGATCCGATCAAAACATTTGAATGCTACGACTGAGAGGCATACGAGGGACTCAGATCTTGAGGAAGGACCTGTTTCCTGGGCGCTTGGGCCACACCGTGACGGCGCCAATCCTCACATCCTCCCTTGTCTTCTTCTCCCCCCTCCTCCTCTTCTCCCTCCTTCCCCTCCCTTCATCCTCCCTCGTCCTCCTGCTCCTCCTCCTCCCCATCCCCATCCTCCTTGACGCCTTGACGTTGCGGATCGGATGTTCTATCTTCGATCCTCATCGGTCATCCTCCTCGATCCTCGATTCTCCTCGATCCTAGGTCCGTAGCCGTTTTGGCTCAAGATGTTTTCCTGGGGGGCTGTTCAGCCTCCAGGCAGAGTGGATTGCACTGGTCCGTGCAGAGACCTCGAACGCTCTCCGCCTGGTCCGCCCCAGGCGTGGAGCTCGGTGCCAGCGCATCGAGCCGCAGCCGCTTCTCAGCGGGCAGCATGGCGCCTCCTCCTCGCCGCGGCGGCGGCGGCGCTCCCTGGCGTGCTGGCGACGGCTGGCATTGCGGCGCCTGCGGCTACTTCAATTTCGGGGACCGCAAGAAGTGCAGGCAGGCGAGCTGCGGGGGCTACCGTCCAGGGCTTCGGGGGCCTCTGGCGGCGGCTGGGGATCCTGCTCATCGCCTGCCTCCTGGTGCCGTGTGGCTTCGTGGGCCGGCAGCGTGGAACAGACCATCCTGCCTGGTGATGGGTGGGCCACGCTGTGCCTCAAGATGATGCTGCTGGCGCCGCTGGATAAACTGCACAAG